TTAAGATATTTTTGATGAAATCTGAGGGCTCTCTGACCCTCCTATAGACAGCAAGGATCCTAACATGATCAAGTCACAGAAAAGTACCAAGATGATCGACAAAGTAGTCCATGTGATATCAGTGGTTCAACTGTAATGTTATGACGCTACGAGAATACTTTTTTGCGCAAAGAAAACAAAAATAACGACTTTATGCCACATTTTCGTCTCTACTGCGTCTCTTGTGGATGCGCGTTCACGACATCAAGTCATCACGCCGGTGTTCTGACAAATAATGCTACCTATCAGATTATGCTACCAACACTGTATTTATCCTACTGTAAGAGTAGGTTTAGGGTTGGGGTAGGTGTACATGGTAATAACCTCACACCTTATTAATATCATGCTGGAAGCAAAATCTGACAGGGTAGCACAAATCGTCAGAACACTGGATCTGGGTCAGCGATTTTTCTTTGCAAATCCCTGGTTTGTACTTCTAATTCGTGACCGGCATTTTACGATTAAAACGATTTTACGATCGTCACTAATCACGCAACGCCGACGTCTTACATCATCCGCCGGAATGGCTTCAGTGTATGACAGATACCGGAAGTGAGAGAAAAGTGTTTATTACGTTTGAAATATGGATATTTTTCTGACAAAAACACATGGATTCGCTACAGGAGGCCTTTATTTACCCCCCCGGAGCCGCCTGCGGCACGCTTTATTATGGATGCGCGCGCTTTATTTGACGACTTGTGGACCGTTCAACTGCAACACCCGCTGACTGCAATGATAGAGCTTGGAAGAGCCAGGACAAAGAAGAAAATCATATACACCTAGGATGCTTCGAGGGTAAGTAAAACACAAGCTAATTTTCATTTTTGGGTGAACTAACCCTTTAACTTTTACAAGCAGGCCGCCACGTTTTCCCCGGCGTCTGGATCGAGGAGGACCCTAAGTTCAGCAGAGGTACGCAGGTAGCCCTTGGGCAAATCTTTTTGTCCACTCGAATTAAATTTCACTGCATTTTCCATGAACGACCTTATATCAAGAAGTGCTTGGCGTTCGTACACCAGTAGAGAGTCTGCTTTGTTTAAAACAGTCAATAAAAACAATAAAAACACGAGCAAAACTGAGAGCAGCTGACGGCTGGCCATACACTCAGGCGCCATCTTGGAAATAACCAATTGGATTATTGTTTTTGTTTATATTTACTTCAATCCCTAGACTTTGGTGTTTTGTTTCTGTAACCAATCGCTTTTTCTTTTAAATAAATAGTCTTGCAACTGAAATATTCACTTGCATGTGTGATCCTCTTTATGTTACGGTCGGGAACGAGCTGGCCGTGACAGTGTGCATGTGTGAGAGTGTGCATGAGTGTGTGTGTGTGTGCATGTGCGAGAGTATGCATGTGAGTGTGTGTGTATGTGTGTGTGAGTGTGTGTGTGTGCATGAGAGTATGCATGTGAGTGTGTGTGTATGTGTGAGTGTGTGAGAGTGTGCATGTAAGTGTGTGTGTGTATGTGTGCATGTGTGAGAGTATGCGTGAGTGAGTGTGTGTGTGCATGTGCGAGAGTATGCATGTGAGTGTGTGTGTATGTGTGTGAGTGTGTGTGTGCATGAGAGTATGCATGTGAGTGTGTGTGTATGTGTGAGTGTGTGTGTGTGTGTGTGCGTGCATGTGTGAGAGTGTGCATGTAAGTGTGTGTGTGTATGTGTGCATGTGTGAGTGTGTGTGTGCATGAGAGTGTGCATGTGTGAGTGTGTG